GCTAGTTTAGTCCAATATGCGTTCCTATACATTTACTATGTGTGAAAGTACCGAAATCATGTTCTGGTATGACCAACCGATTTCTAATATTTAATCGAAGTTTACCAAAGCTGAATACCTTCCTCTTTCCAACTAGTTTGGTGACCGGTACCAGTTGTACTCGGTTGAACCGGCCGGTAGGATGCGACAAGACAACCATGATAACACTGGTGATACTTGAGGTATGGTAGAGGTTAGGGTGCTACATTCTATTTTGATGACTATTAAAACTACAGGGTTGACCAAAATTAATGCGAACTTATAAAGGAAGGGGTATGCTTGTCATTGTTAAAAATGAGATAGCATTTATAACACCTAAATCAATGTTATCTAACCTCCATTATCTAGGTCTTTGTGTGCTAAATCACCGTGTCTACCCCACATTGCAAGCTAGTTTAGGCCAATATGCATTCCTCTGCATACAATATGAGTTTGGGCATAAGTTATTTTGTTATGAAGGTTCGCTATGTGGAAAGCACCCCACTTTTTCGTATTTTATGCTCAATTGGTGTTTGTGGTGATGTTCCTGGTATTGTACTCGTCCACAATAGAATGGGGATCAAGGTGGGGTTTATCCAGACATGTTTCCAACACATTAGAGCAAGTAAATGAGAGCTTAAGATAGGCCACGACCATAGGTCATGACATCGAGTTGGGGGTTCATCCGAGCATGTTTGCAATGCATAAGAGCAAGGAAATGAGAACTCAAGACAAGTCATGACCACATGTCACGAGAGTGACCTCCTGCGCTTGACGCACCCTCCGGCGCAAGAATGAGTAGAAAGTTTCACAAACCAACTCACGGCCAATAAGGATTCTACCCGGTAGAAAGATTACGACCACACCTTTAATATCATGACCATGAAGTCAAGATCAATGTCGTAATCTTGGTGGTCGTGATAAAAATCAAGATGAGGAGGAGAGCGACACTTCGATGATGTTTTGCATGCCAGAACAGTGACATGCCTTCTGCTCACCATTTCATCAAGCGTCACGGCCTCCAAGCTGTGACATCCCCTCGAGTCACGCCCTTTGACCGTGACATGCACCAAAGCTTCTATATATAGCCTATTTTCTGAAATTGATGAAGAGGAGCCACCCTAGAGTGAGAAAATATGATTTGGGAAGTCTTTCGTGAGAGAAAACACCTTGTAGGAGCTAGGGAAGAAAGATTCCATCCACAAACCAAGGAGAAGGGGTGCAATCCAAGGAGAATAAGATGTTTTCAAGCTTGATTCTTCTACCTAGTTTGTACTTCATTTCTCTCTTTAAGATTTGAACCCTTATAGTTATTTAGGGGAGATGAATTCTAGTATGTAATTAGGGTTTGTTGACAGAATGTGCACTTAGCCTTGATTCATATCTATCTATGCTTGTTTGATGTTTATTCTTGCCATTAATTTGATTTAGTAGAGGAAACTAGTGCATGTTCTTGACCTTAGTTCTAATGACCATTCCCCTAGGTTAGGATTAGAACACACATTTGGCATTGTGGGATTTGGATTACGTGACCATCAAGTTGAAGTCCCATTTGCTTAAGGGCTTAGAAGTGGGATTGTGAGTGGTGATCATCACAACTATCACTAGACTATATGATTTCTCACAACTTATAAGTTAGGTAAGTCAAACTAGGGCTTGCACCAATCAACTACCCATCATACTACTAGGAGGATTCAATAATAAGAAACTATCTTATCTCAAGTGACCTCTCAATACTTAGTTGTTTTTCTTAGTTAGGTTTACTATTTATTAATCCAACTTTTCCGTTTGATTAGATAGTAGCTGAAAGAGAAGTAATGATAGACCTAAGGTTCTCTTGGAATATGATCGAAGCCACTTTACTACAAGCCTAACATTGGTACGCTTGTCATTGTTAGGGTTAGAAGTGAGTGAAGGAATATAAGGTAACATAGGATGCATAGTAGTAGTTGTGGTATGAGAAGAAGGAATATAAGCATCATAACATTGAAGATGAATCAAAGGGTACCATTACCGATCACTCTGATGAAGAGGGAAAGCTAGAAACTTGAGAGGACATGAACATAGAATCACAACAGAAGGGGAAGAGCCGCTAGGGACGTTTGTGCATGGAGAGGGATGAGGTTGTTGCATGGTGACTCACCATCATTGACAGCTATTGCGGGCAAGTTTGTTCGTGTTGCCTCGATTGTTTTGGCATCATCATCAAGAGGAGGTGAGGTCAAGGGTTGTAGGTGAGAAAAGGTACAATAGGGAGGCTAAATATCGCTTGTAAGTGAATGAAAGGGGAATATGTTTTATTCAAAGAACACATCCCGAGAAGTAAATATGCGGTGTGAGGATGACTCATAAAAGTGATAGCCCTTTTTCTGAAGACGGATTGCAGAGGAAGACACACACCCTCCCACATTCACCAAAACTATCCAAGTGAGAGTGAGTATCCTTTGAGTAGACGAAGTACCCAAAAGCACGTAAATGGGCATAGTTGGGATGTCGACCAAATAGATGTTCATAGGGAATTTAATTGGCGAGTTCCTCATGGGGAAGCCAATTAATTAAATAGCCTGCAGTGAGAACAAACTTACCCCGAAACAGTTTGGGCAAGTTTGCATGAAAGCATATAGCCCAAGCAATGCCTCAAATATGGCAAAGCTTGCCCTTAAGTACTTCATTTTGTTGAGGAGTACATGGACAAGACAAAGTTTGAAGAAAAATTCATTCATTAATGTAAAAATCAAGCATCTCATTAGACTGAAATTTAGTTCCGTTATCAGTCTAAATAATCTTGATCGAGGCATTGAACTGCCAAGAAGCCTATCGAATGAAGAGTTACAAACACTTGGATGCCTTTGACTTGAACTTAAGCAAGTAAATCCACACCCCATGAGGAAAATCATCAACCACAGTAAGAAAGTACGAAGTATCTCTCAAAGATGGAACTTTATATCCCCCCCCCCCCCCAATGTCAACAAATGAATTAAAAAACCCGAAATCTATGAATAGAGCTACACGCGAAGAGAAAACGAAGTATCTTTGCTCCCAAACATGAAGAGCAAAGAGTCTTATTAAAACTAAGAGGATTAGAAATCAAATGTAACAAATCAAGCTTCTCTATTAATGGGTGTCCCAAATTGCCAGTGGGAGTGCCACAAGTCTGTGGGCGCTACTCATTGACTCACACATTCCATCTCTTTGTGAACCCCATTGAATTGTCGCATATAGTAGAGTCCGTCACTCTGTGTCCCCGTCCTAAACAATCGTCTTCGAGCGTAAGTCCTGTATTACACAAAAGTCGCTCAAGAAGATCAATGCAAAAGAAAAATCTCGAGTATGCTGGCTATCAAACAATAAGTTTCATTTAAATTCTGAAACTAAGATCACTTGCTTTATAACCATGGCATTAGACAATCACACTAAACCAATTGCATAATCCCCTATGACTGAGTCATGTGGAACCCATACCTGTAAGTCCAATTCCATATGTGATCCAACTCTAGTATGGAATTTTGTACTTTGTGCTTAATTATTACAACTCATATCGATTAACCACTCATCAAAATTCATGGAGAAAGACGGGGATCACCTGTCATTTTGTTGTCCGAGTTCAACTTGGTCTTTAACTCAACCACAGAGAAGGTTTTTAGCTGTTCAAATTGAGAAACATTTAACCCAGGAATATGACTCTCACTAACCCAACCTGAGTTGCTCGAGGTGTTCCTTTGCCGCACACATTCCCTTTGCGCCATCCGTCTTTCTCTTCATTACAGAGACCAAGTTTGCGCCAACCAATGATCTCAAAGAAGCGATCCTTAGTATGTACAATATTCAAGCAATGGTAAAAAAAATAACGAGGCTAATTAGGGTCTCTTGAATGCCCGAAAGACCATTGCTGGACTGCTCTCTCTAGTCCTGCACATAAAATACAGTTGCTTCAACTGTGTAGCGGCGGGAACTAGCAATCTTATGATGTTATTGTTGTACGCCTCAACAAAACTCGACATAGGTCTCATAGCAAAAATTTGGTCTCGTGATACTTGTGCTTGATGTCACAATTACTTTCCCACAATGGCACTGATGAGTAGGAAAAACAATTGAATTTCATCTTGTAAACCACACAGCTTTGATTAAAAGGTTGAGACGCTCGATTTTTCTTATTTTAACATGCTAATCGTGCATCACAACTCATTTAACCTAAGTGCACTCCCTTGTCCAAATCGAGCCTTGAGATTTAGCCATATTTCAGGAGTCGTGCTAGCAAACCAGATGCTTCTTCGTATCTTCTTGCTCATGGTTGTCTTCAACAAGCCCTTGACCATCACATTGCATCTGTTCCACTAGTCGTGTAGCACTCCTTCTGTGGGCTTAGGGATGGAAACATCAATAAATCCCATCTTATTTTTAGAAATAAAATAACCAGTGATGTCACCGAGCCACTCACCATAAATTTTATGGGTAAGTAGTTCTTTAACAAATAATTGATTGAGGTTGTTCGAGTTTGGCAAAATGCATATGCTTTCATTTCCGATGTCTTCCTCTCAAGCTAGTGATCCTTTGGACTTAGTTTGCAATGATGTCTGGGGTCATGCCCCTACTATATCGGTTGATAATACTCTATTATGTCATTTTTATTAGGGCTAATACCACTACAACACCCGAACTATCCCGAAAATGCCACTTGTGTCCTATTGTTTCCAATATTCCATCTGTGTCCTGAACTATTATTCCGTTAGTGTTGACCGGCGTTGACCGTTAGTATCTAACAGAAAATCCAGTCAGCATTGACATGGCATCTGACGTGAAATTTTCATTATCAATTTTTATTTATTTTTCCATCTAAAATAATAAAAACAAGGAAACCCAATTTTCATTATCTCTACCTCGCCGCTGCACTTCTCCCAAAATCTTTTTAATTTCCCCCAAATCAGAACCCTTCGTCTTCCTCCTCCTTCCTATACAGAAGAAATCCCCCTCCCAAATCCTAAACCCAAAACACAAGATGAGGCCGCTATACGAGGCGGAGACGACGGTCGTCTTCGAGAAGCTCTTGAAGTTCACCGGCAACAACCTGAAGAACATCGTCGAGAGCCCCACCCACGAGGGTCCGGACCCGAACCTCGGCCGCTACTGCTTCTGCCTCCAGAAGAAACGGGTCTACTACGTCAGCGAGGCCTTGGTGAAGCGCGCCACCAACATTATCCGGAAGAACCTCGCCGCGATGGGCACATGCGTCGGCCGGTTCACCCACGACGGCAAGTTCCACCTCACCGTCCAGTGCCTGGGCCTGCTGGCGGCGAACACCAAGCACAAGGTATCGCTGAAGTGACAGTTGCCGGAATCTGGATTTGCTATCCTTCCCCATTTTTTAATTTCAAGATCTGATGATGGAGTCTTTTGACTAAGAGTGATTAGATGGCGAAGAAGAAGAACAATATGTTTGCAGGTTCGTCGCTTGGTGGAGGGAGACTCGATCCTGCTACCACTCTCGCTAGATCTGTTTTTTTTTTTTTTTTTTACTTTCTTTGCTGGCCGCTGTTGTTCATGCCCGATGAAGAAAGGGATGATTCTTTTTTGATAGAGGAAGAAGAAGAAAGGGAAAGTGCAAAGTCAAAATTTTCATTAATGTTGAGTTTACATATTTTGTGTTTTTAATATTATTTTTTATTTAATTTTGAATATAAAATATGAGGTGTCAATGACGTGGCATCTATGTGGCTGCCACATTTTTTGCCACGTTAGCAAAAGTCAACTTTGCGTTGACCACCGTTTGGTCAACCATTATCTTTAACGGTCAATGAAATTGACAGGATACAAATGACACAACGTATTATAGTTCAGGACACAGATGGAATATTGAAAACAATAGGACACAAGTGGCATTTTCGGGATAGTTCGGGTGTTGTAGTGGTATTAGCCCTTTTTATTATCAATATAACAAATATGTTTGGCTTTATAGTCTTTGTTATCACTATGAGTTTCTTCCCACCTTCATTGAATTCCAAAGTCATGTTGAAAAGTTCTTTAAACGCCCCATCAAGTCTTTCCAAGCCGATTGGGGAGAGGGTGAATATAGCTCATTGGCCATCTATCTTGCTGGCAATGGCATCCAATTTCGTACCTCTTGTCCTCATACCTCTGAACAGAACAGGTGTGTTTAATGCAAGCACTGACACCTCACCAAAATTGGTCGCTCTTTGCTTCATCAGGCTGGTGTTCCAGCCACTTATTGGTCCTTTGCTTTTCGCACAACCGCATATCTCATTAATCGAATTCTATCAACCACCATTGACTTTTAAACTCCGTACCATTGTATTTTTCAAGAATATCCTGATTATCACTTTCTTCGCATATCTGGTTGTTTGTGCTAATTCCCTTGGTTGCGTCGGTACACCAAAACCAAATTGGAAACACGATATGTTACACCCCGACGTTTGGGCTTAGGTTCGACCAAAATAAACGAACGGTTGGGTAAAAGGAACGGGATGTATCATTTTGGTATCAGAGTCGACACTCCTCTGTTTCTTGGTCTCCAAGGAATACTGGAGTGATGATATGAGTTTTCAAGGTTTCTGTTTTTTAAAGGAAATGAAAAAGGGGTGTCAGGTCTAAGGTTTGGTCAAATGAGTTAGGGTTCTTTTGAGGATTTTTAGAATCTCCCGTATACTCTAATCATGACAAGGAGATAACCTTAGGAGGCCCCTACGGGGGTATGATACGTCTCGGGAAGGAGAAGGAGCAAGTTCTCAGAGGAATTGTTTAGTGAACCCCCTTCATGAGTGAGAAGAGGAGGGTCAGTGCAGCTCACATCCTATGGGGATGTGAGCTGATCCGAATCAGGTTTATGAAGAAGCCAAGTATTTAGTACGTCGGCTGCTAGATCCAAGGAGTTACGCCAAATGGCGCCATAATCGAGAGGAAAGGATGCAAGAAAGATTCGTTGAGTTCGCGAGAATGAAGCATAGGGCTACGACCCGAAGAGTAGAGGAGGTTAGACTTTAAGCAACACTAGGGGTGCTTAAGCAAAGCAAAGAAGAAACTAAGGAGGTCATAGGGATCATGAAAGGATTTCAAAGGATCAATACGTCAAGGCTAGGAGGAGGCACGTCCATGTACATGGATCAAATGAGAAATCCCTTATGGGTACAGTGTGATACCTCAATTTGGATCTAGATTAAACAACCAACTACTGAATGAATTGGACCATGAATCATATTGAATCGATATTTTGTTTAGCATGCAACCGGGCCAAGTTTCATAGAATTAAAAGGGCAGTGAGTCACTCAAGTTACACGAGTGCTACAAGCTAAGAGAGAGTACCTATTGTGGTAGAGAAGAAATATAAGAGGAGCATTATTATTATGCGAGGTGCGCAAAGAGCACCATTGAAGCAGACATAGTGAAAATAATTTTTGGGGCAAGGGAGTGCAATGCCGATGTTAAAGGAAAGATGAGTTCCGAACAAATTTCGTGGACGAAATTTTTATAAGGTTGGAGGAAATGTTTCACCCCGACGTTTGGGCTTAGGTTCGGCCAAAATAAACGAACGGTTGGGTAAAAGGAACGGGATTTATCACGATATGCTCCATGTGTGTTCCTTGACTGCAGTCTTCAGCACAAGGGATGTTTTTGCTTAAATATCCTGACTCGAAAATCATCATATCACGACGCGTTCTATTTGACGAATCAGTTTTTACTTTTCAGGTGCAGTCCACAAGTCTATCTAGTCCATGGTTGTCACGCCGGCCGGCGTGCCACCGGTTGTACCGGGTTCAATCGGTACCGGTCATAAAATCGGTGTGACACTACTGATATGACCGGCATGATCGATATACGAATCTCTAAATAAAATGACCTTATTTTAGAGAATTTAATTGATAAAAATTATTTTATTATTTATTTAATGAGTATAAAATTAAATATTGATGTTATTTGTTGGATTCAAGTATAAATGTTTATGGATTGACGTTAAATGTCATGTTTACATATGAGTATTTATAATTTTATTTGTAATATTGACCGGCATGAACCGGCACAAACCGGTATGTGCCACCGGTTGAACCATTCCACTTGCTAAACCGGCACACTGGCATAAACCGGTTTGACAACCTTGATCTAGTCCCAGCCTGCATGCTTCCTTTGGGTATGGCCTACCAGTTTTCCTCCCGATTACGCGTCCCTATGCAGCTCCTCTTTCTCAAGCCAGGGCGGAGCTACCTTAAGGCTCGGGGGGGCCGGGGCCCCCCCGAGAATTTCGTAGATCACATATAAATACATCGAGAATTTTCAAAATTATAAAATAATTTAAGTCTAATATAATTATTGGAGTGCGCAGAATTGTATAAATGTTTCTTATAGTCTAGTGGTCTTGTTGTTGGTTTGTCTTATGGCTGTACATTATTTCAATCCCCAGCGGCGGCAAAATTATTACTTTTCCTAACTTTTCTTTAATTTTTGCTTAAAGTTAAACTTAAATACTTAACTTTAGTTCAGCTTTTGATTAAAATTAAACCCAATTACTTAACTTTAGTTTAGTTTTTTCTTAAATATCAATTTTATTTTGCAAATAATAATATGCATATACAATTATTGTTCAATTACAATAACAAAGAATAACATGGTAAAGGTTAAAAAAGAAAGATTAGTTTTTTCTTTGTCGTTTATTATTTATCTTGAACATACTGACAAAAAAATATAGTTCATATCATATGTTTAGATTTTTTAATTATCTTAAATAATGTATGCACGGTAACACTAATAAATTTTGGTCATATCATATATTATTATTGTTTTAATTTTTGACGATCCTATGGAAAAAAATTCGGTCCCCCCGACTTCTGAATCCTGGCTCCGCCCCTGTCTCAAGCGGAATCGCTCGGCCCAACTACGACTGCCTCTTCCTTGCTGTCGCCTCCAAGCTCCACCTCGTCATCAGCTTCCACGGAGACTGACCCCACATCTTGTTCAATGGGTCAGTCCCTCTCCTTGGGCCTGTCTTCAACCGTCATCCCATGGCCACTATGGTTCATACTAGTAAACTCAAGTCCAAGGTTCTTCTTATATATATTGCCGACAAAGAGCCAACATGCTTCTCTCAAGCAAATTCCTCCCATGTTCGGCGCAATGCAATGACATATGAGATCAATGCCTTACTTGCTAATCAAACATGGTGCCTAGTTCCTCGACCAGCTTTCGCACATCATATAATTGGCAACAAGGTGGTCTTCCACATTAAATGTCATCCCAACGGCTGGATTGCTCGTCCCAAGGCTAGACTCGTAGCCAAGGGGGTGAATTTTCACAAAACCTGCAGTCCCGTCATAAAACTAGCTTCAATCCGTCTCATGCTCCCCATTGTTGTTACAAAATATTGGCCAATTTGGAAACTTGATGTCTCTAATGCCTTGCTTCACGGCACCCTCACCGAAATTGTTTACATGGCTCAGTCACAGGATTTGTTGAACCACATAATCTCAATTATGTCTACGAGCTTAAGCAAGCTACCAACACCGGTTCTCTTGTCTCCATTATGCTCTTCTTTAACTGGGATTTCGTGGCTCCAAAATGGACCATTCACTTTTTTACCATACCTAAGGTCCTCATCAACTCTTTGTTTTAGTTTATGTCGATGATATACCAAAATTACTGATTCCTCTGATGCTGCTATTACTACCGTCTTCAGTCAGCTTGCTGCAAAGTTCAGCTTCAAAGATCTTAATGATCTTCACTACTCTCTTGGTGTTGAGGTTGCTCGCACCCACTGCTCTTCATTTATCTACATCCATGATATTCTCCGGCGGGCTGGTATGGTGACTTGCAAACCTCTATCTACTCCAATTGCTGCTCTTCATGTCATTTATCTCTCTGGCAGGTTGAAGGTCATCCTGCCCTTCACTTGAGGGGGCGTTATAATGCTTAAGGATCCTCTGATTCGCTTTCTGTTGCCTCATGATAATCCATACGCTTATTTCCCTATTTTGTACCTTTGTAATCTCCTGTAATTATCCCACACGCTATTTCCTCTCTTCCTTGTATTTATCCTCTTATACCACACCTGTATATAGATTAGAGATTAGCAATACAAAGCCCTTTAATTTGAGGGAAAATATTCTACTTACGCGTATAATCAAGAGAATTTTATATAACTACTACAGAAGAATCATGATCTTAATTCAGCAAAGATAAGATTGAGGTGGTTACAGACGTTCTGCATAGGCAATAGTGAGAGCCGAAAGCAGTGATTTTCACTTCGAATAAAGAATGGAGATATGTGATAGCTTGAACTGCTTTAGGCCTTTTGTTTACTCTCTTTCTTCCTCTCCTCTCTGATGGGTTTTAACTTTAATCCTCAGAGTGGGTCTTGGATTGGTGGTTGGAGCAAGGACTTGTATGAAGCCGATGAGACTTTGAGGGATTTGGTTTATTAGGAAACATAATGGGGAAGATGTGGAAAGAAGTGGAGGTGGTTGTCTTGTTACAGAATCTCCCACAATATAGGGTCTAGAGTAGAGACGGGTGGGGGATCGGCGGATCGCATAGTCAGATTGGATTTGAATCGCCGCGGAAGTGAGGAGGAGACGAAGTCGCAACCCTTAAAGGTTCATTTAATTTTTCAAAATTTTAATCGTAACTTAATTTTTAGTTAGTAAAAAAATTTGATGGATTAACAACATGACATCTATGATGTCACATTTTCG